TATTTTTAAGTTTATAATTCAGTGACATTAACTGCACTGACCACAAAATGGAAGTCATCACCACTCTCTTTCCAAAAGTTTTTCTCAAGAAGAAACTCAGTATTTTAAGAATAATAAATCCCATTTCCTTCTCCCACTATCACTGGTAACCACTAACAAACTGTTTCTCTGTACTTGCCTACTCTAGATATTTCTTAAGCGAGACTATACAATAATTGCCCTTTGGTTCATGGCTTATTTCACCAGTATGCTACATTTTCAAGGCCCATTCAAATCGGTGGTGGTGATGGTGTTATGTGCTGTAGTCGAGTACAACTCAGCAAGCAGGTATCAAAACTCCATTTCTTTCTATGGCTGTGTTGTATTCTACTCTATGTATGTAATACTTTTTATTTAACTTGATAAGTGTGTTGGTCTTACTGCCTTTTGGCTATTGTGAACAGGGCTGCAATGAAGAATGGAGTACATGTGTTTGTTTGCATCTCTACTTTGAATTCTTTTATACCTAGCTGTAGAATTAATGGGTCAAGCCCACTAGTCACTTCTTGGGGAAAAGTTGGAGCATCTCCTCCTGTTAAAATAAATACCCTCAGAAAGCTTATGATGGGGTATCATCATTTGGAATTGACTAAACAGCACAGGGCTTGGTTTGGTTTTGGGACAATTTCATATTTGACTTTTAGAGGAAACGAAATATACTTTAAGTACTTTTGAAGAGATGAAATATTTTTATATTACATATAATACAAAATATATATAAACACACACCCACACACACCCATTAGCATTAACTTTTAGTACTCTAGCAATGCAATGTGGGCTAATATTAATTTTTTGAAATAAAAGAGTATCAAAACAATAAGTTTTATCACAAAAGAAGGCAGAAAAAGAAGCAAAAGACTGTTGTTGTTATGTGCTATCAAGTCGATTATGACTCATAACAACGCTATGCGCAATAGCTCTGAACCCTGCTCTATCCCGAGGCAGTCTCACTGTCTGTGACACATCTACCCTTGTTACCCCAGTTACTGTGTCAATCCATCTCATCCAGGGTCTTCCTCTCCCGTGCTGTCTCTTGACCCTTTCAAGCATGATATCCTTCAGCAAGGACTGGTAGAAAAATAAGCGAGTAGAGATTGGCAACATGAGAGGGTACTGTTGCTCCATCATTTTAGATGCTAATGGTTTCCTTCTGTAAATGACTAATGATATATTCTGTCTGAGTTTAAAAATAGAATTTTGCGTCACACTTGAGTACATGTAACTGTGGCTTTGGCATCTCTTTAAGGGGGGGCCTGGAGGAGAAGCAAGTGTGCGATTTTATCATGTTTGTGTTTGACTGGGAGAAAAGTAACCTCTGGATGACCTCAATGTCCCAAAGTCTGAAATTCTAAACTTTGTACAGATGTAATAAGTAATCTCATGGGGAGAGGTTTTTGTTTTTTTTTAAAAAAAATTATTTTTAGGCATGGCAAAGCTTCCCTTTCTTCACTTAAGACTTTATTTGAGCAAGGAATTTTTTAACAGCTTCTTAAAGTAACCAAGAAAATGCATCTGTAGCAAAACTTTATTTAAGACAAGAGATACATGAATTAATGGGAGTACTTCTCTAACGTTTCAGCTTCATTTTTAGATAGGGTTACATAGGGAAAGAAGCAAGCAATGCATCAGACCGATTTCTTTTTTAGTCCAGAGTTATCTATCATTTGTTAAATTTCACAGCTGTGCAATTCATTTGTAATTAAATGGGTCTTAAATTCTAAAAGGGCCATGCTATGGAAATC